GGATGGATGAGTTCCTACACAGGTGAACATATGAGTGACAAAGAGATGAAAGAATACTCGAATAACGTTTTCAAGAAATTGGAACCCTATTTAACTACGTCTACTAGAGTACTTGAAATAGGTTGCGCTTCGGGACTCACAACTCAGATGATCAAACCAAATGTAGAATCGTATATAGCCACAGATTTATCCAAGGAAATGGTGAACAATTTGAAGAAAGTTTATGCTGATGCTGAAAACATGGAGGTTTTCTGTGCAGCTGCCGACCAAGTCCGAGCATTATGCAAAGGAAAGACATTTGACATGATCATCATCAATAGTGTAATACATTGTTTCCCAGGCTATAATTATCTTAGGAAAGTTCTTAGTGACTGTGAAGCCATGTTAAGCGAGGACGGGGTTATATTTCTTGGAGATGTGATGGATCTTGACCTCCGAGATAATCTGGTAAACTCAATGAAGTCTTTTAAAGCAGTACATCCTGAATACAGAGTTAAGACGAACTGGAATAACGAACTCTTTGTTTCCAGAATGTTCCTTGACAGTTTTTGTTCATCGTCGTCGATACTAAATAGTGCAAAACATTCTAAGAAATTATACACTGTGCGCAATGAACTAACTGAATTTAGATTCGATTCCATTCTGTTTAGAGCAAGAGGTAATAAAGAAATAAAGAATGGGGGAACGAAAAAGTCATATGCCCGTAAAGACATTGAACAATATTCCTGTACTTTTAGTCACCAACTCAAACAACTCTCCGATGAAATATCATTTGATGACGAAGCCTATATTTTGTACACATCAGGAACCACTGGAACCCCTAAAGGAGTGGTTATATCTCACGAGGCTTTACTGAACTACTCAACATGGGCACGGAGAACTTACCAATTCAGTCCTAAAATACACACTCCGTACTTCGCACCCCTCACTTTCGATTTTACGGTTACCAGTATTTTCCCACCATTATTGACAGGGAGTAACATACATATTTTCAAGAACTTTCAAGACTCATACCAAGAGATTGCAAAAAGAGATGAATTGAATGTCGCCAAGTTTTCTCCTATGCAGCTGGATATGCTTTTGTCATCAACCAAAGATGTCTTAAGTATTAAAACATATATCCTTGGTGGCGAAGAACTGACTTCGACTTTGATGAATAAATTAAAAGCGAATCAAGGCGATAAGTACTTCGAAGTCTGGAATGAATATGGCCCCACAGAAGCAACGGTTGGTTGTGTTGTTAGATGCTTCCGTAGTCATGAATTACCACTACAGATGTCTGAGTTAGTAACCATAGGATACCCAATAGACAACGTGGATGTAGGAATAATCAGAAACAATAAACTAGTACCCATAGGAGCAAAAGGGTTCCTCGCTATCGGGGGGAAATGTCTTTGCTTAGGTTTTGTTGGTAATAGCGAAGAGAAGAGGATCAGGGAGCTGAAATCATTATCTAGTTGTCTTTGGGGTTCACCAGTAGACAGAATGTTAATCACCGAAGACGTTGTTGAAATCTTACCAAGTTCAAAAGAAATGGCATACTTTGGGCGTAAAGATGGTGGAACTACAAAAGTCAATGGCATAAGAGTCGACATTACCGAAATCCAAAATGCTATAGAAAATGTCTTTTTTGTGAAGGGAGCCTGGGTTTGCAGTTTCGAATTTGAAAAACGTACGTACATTGGGGCTGCTATAGAGTTTAAAAAGCAGACAAAAGACATGGAATCCTGGAAAAGGGTCCTATTTGAGGAAGTGAAAGAGCACCTTCCTTTAAGATCAATTCCAAAAGTTCTTATTGCAGTAACCAAGCCGCCAACAAATATTAACGGGAAGAAAGACACCGCTTACCTACGAACCCAGTTCGTACTTGAGATGCAGTCTTCAAACCAACACAGCGATAATGAATTAACAATGGTTTCTAATTCACCAATTCTTGCTAAACTACAAAATATATGGCACAGTATATTACCTATCAACTATTTACCAAAACCAAACCAGAACTTTTTCTTTGACCTCTCGGGAGATTCTCTGCAGGCTATACACTTGGTTAGGAAGATGAGGGACGAAGGATTCAAGGTATCGGTAACAGATATTTTCCAGAACCCAACAATTGAAAAACTTCTATCAAATTTAAAAATGTCAGATGATGACGTTTATCGCGAAGAAGAAGAAGAAGAAGAAGAAAATATTGCTTTTAAACCTACACCAATCGTGGAAGATTTTTTACTTCAAGACAAAAGGTTTCCAGACTATTTTGCTCTTTCGGCCCTGCTAGATTTTCACACTAAGGTAGACGTAAAGTTACTGAGGAAAGCCCTAAGAAGCGTAATGAAGAAACACGGATCTCTGAGGTCTAAGCTTTATAAAGAAGATGGGCAAGTTCAACAAAAAGTTGTTCCTCTCAAAGATGATCAGCCTCAAGTAATAAAAGTCGATTTTGAAAGTATGGCGGATCACCTATCTGATGAGAAAGAATTTATAGAAACTTGTCAAAACCTTGATAGAAGTCATTCCCTTGAAGACGGAATTCTAGTCGGTGGTGCTGTCTTTAACATAAAGTACGCTAGTGGTAATACAAAATGTTACGGACTGCTTGTAGTACATCATGTTGCTTTAGACATAGTATCATGGCAGCAGATTCTAGAAGATCTGGCAACTGCGTTCCGGATGTTGAGTAATGATGAAGAAATAGAACCTGTCTTGAAACCTTGCCGTCTAACATACCGTTCCTATTGTGAAGCTGTACATGCAGAAGCCAATGGTATCTTCGCTCCAGAAGTCAACTATTGGGCAGATGTTGAGAAACAGAGTCGGGGTGCTGGTGTATTGGTAGAGAAAGATATCCAGAGCAAATTTAAAACCGCTAAATGGTACAGCAAATCTATAGATGCATCTTCCTTGCGAGCAACATCTACAGGTATGGGCTGTTCAGACGAACAGGTCCTGTTAACAGCTTTTGGTAGATCGATGGCGACTATTCATGGAAAAGATAAAACAGCACTTTGCATGGAGAGTCATGGTAGACAGCTTGATGTTGATTCCTCAGATACTGTTGGTTGGTGCACCAGTATGTTCCCGTTTATCCTTGATACGCCTTTGAAAGAAGACATAATTGGACAAGTAAAGCAAGTTGGCAAAGATCTAAATGCCATCCCAAACCATGGTCTTGGATTCGGGCTACTGAAGTCTGCAGGAAAAATATCAATGACGCACCCTAAAGTTACGTTCATCTTCCAAGGATCACTTGATGCCAGCTCAAAAGAAACTCTTGATGGGGGTAAATACCAGTTTGATCATATACCATGGATAGAGATTATGTTGAACGAGTTGCGACAGAGACGATTTCACAGACATTTTGAAGAATTGCTCGAATTTGACTTAGAATTTATTGCTTGGATACATGGTGGTGGGTTGAAATTCGGATGCTTGTTTGATGAAGAAACCGTCACTCAAGCTACAGTAGAAGATATCGTAAAACGAGCTGAAATTAATCTTAACACCCTAGCAAAAAGGGTCAACACAAAGAAAATTAACATTTCCTTAAACATTATTCCTGGCTTCGTAATAACTCCAGAATGCGCAGATACCATTAAAGATGCTCTCCAACACCACGACATCAACATACAAAACGTAAAAGTTAATTCGCCAGATGAATTTCTTCAAACGTTGTGCCAATCACCAGCCCAAGACCCGGGCCTGGTTGTAGTTATACCGAGATTGAAAAATGACGAGGATAAAGCAGACATGTTAAATGTTTGGAGTCGATTTCAGAACAAACGTAAAAAGAAATTGGTAGTTATTGAAACAGAAGATCTCCCTAAATCATATAAGCTGCCCACGTTGCCTGAAGACGTACCCATCTTTAAATTTAAAATTCACAAGTCCCACTATGATTCAGATTCTGACCTAGAATATAACATGCCGTTGTCGAAAGAAGGGTACACATGTCTTGGTCTAGACATTGCTCGATATCTAAGAGGATCGCAAAAGAAGACTCAGTTTAAAGTCGTTGCAGTCGATGGGGATTACACACTATGGGAAGGAGAATGTGCCCAAGGAGAAGTTAAGTTGAGTGAAGGCAATATTGCCTTACAGAACTATTTATTAAATTTGAAACAGAGTGGGATGCTTTTGGTTTTATTGAGCAAGAATGAAAAAGGAGATGTAATGGAAGTCTTCAGAAACCGTCCAGAAAATATGGTGCTGAATGAAGATGATTTTGTGTGTATCAAAGCCAACTGGGAAAAGAAACACCTAAATATCACAGAAACAGCAACTTTCTTGAATCTTGGGCTAGACTCTTTCGTTTTTATTGATGACAACATCTTTGAATGTGAGGAAATGTTAAGAAATTGTCCATCGATCTTAACTCTGATGTATCCAGGAGATGCCAAGTTGATACCCCCGTTCCTTGATAGCTTATGGATGCTAGATAATTTCAACATAACAGAAGAATCAGCTGCCAGAACTGAGCTTTATAGAAATGAAATATCAAGACAAGAAGACTTGAGAAGTGTTAGGCAAGAATCGTCAAGCTTATCGGATAGTAATGCAGAAGGATTGACAAGAATACTACGAGATTGGAAAATGAAAATGGTAATTTTGAAAACTACCATCAAGGAACTTAAATTGCATCAACCAATATTTTCAAGGGTGTCAGAATTGTTACATCGAACCAACCAATTTAAACTGAATGATGTCCATACCGATATCCTTCAATTTTCTGAAAATCAAAAAATATGGATCGTTAGTCTTAAGGATGCTCGAGGAACATATGGCATCATTAGTGTATGCATTTTAGAAGAGGAAAATGGAAAATCCCTCCAGCTTATCCAATGGTTAATCAGCTGCAGAGCACTTAACAGACAAGTGGAGAATCGTATATTTTATGAGCTTTATCTTTCCCACACATCAGCCTTCAGTGATTTAGAGATACAGATCAATACAACCAAACGCAATACACCAATGATTAAGTTCCTTCATGATTTAGACCCGGCCTTAGACGTGAACGCTGATTTACGTAAACAACATATAAGAGTAACCCCTAAGATCAATCTGAATTTACACAGTGTCCACAGTACAATTTATTTTGAAGATCTAGAGGTGGATTTCCCAAAGAAAAGACCAAATGAACCCAGCTTAACCAAACCCGAAGGAGAAGATAAACTAGACTCTTTTCATTTAATTAAACATATCAACACTGCTTGGACACCTTTATTGCAAGACCAAGCCTCAAAACATCACATGTTCCCGATCATTCCGCATTGCCAGTACCTGGAAATTAACACATCTACAGACACGTCACTAGTAGACACACTAATCAATACCTGGATGGATGTATTGAACACTACAGTAGTACCGGATAATGACTCCAACTTCCTAGAACAGGGTGGAACTTCGTTTGCCGCAGTGTTTTTAGTATCAAAGTTGCGAAGACTTCACAGCGTAAATATATCCATCATAGACTTACTGAAGAACCCTAATTTTGGAGTCTTTATGAATATTGTCCTCAGCGCAGATAAGATAGCAGAAACCAAATGTGAACCCCGAACAAATAGTAGAAAGGAAGGGAATATATCCAATGCTCAACAGAGAATGATAGTTATGCAGGAATCCGCACCGTTGTCAACATCTTATGTAGAAACAGCAGTTGTAGTTACTTCAACTGATCGACCCGTGGACGCAAGGGAAACATTTCAAGCTCTTCTTCAAGTTCATCCAATTCTTACTAGTAAAATCAAGGCTGCTCAAAACCAACAAAGCTTCTTCATGACACCTGATCATGAAATGAAAGTTGATGTAACTGAGGAACAAGTATCGTGTGACGATATCGTGAAGTACATATCAGACACAATTCCCTTAATACAAGTTTTATCATCCCCGCTGGCAATTTTTCGTAAAATAATCTATAGAAATCAAACTTTTATGGTGGTGCACGTGCATCATATCATATGTGACGAGGTCACGCTCTCTTCTATCAAAGAAACTGTGGTCAATATACTCCAGCGAAGCTTTCTGGATCAAGTAAAAGACGGTGATGCATACCAGTTATATTTGCAATCAGAACATGATTATCGCAAATCAAATCAATTCGCCGAAGATGGTTATTTCTGGCAAAAGCTGTATTTAACAATTCCACCAACTTCCACGCTTTCCAATTTACCAGAGGGGCAAAGTTTATTCAATGATTCAAGAGTATACCAAGCTAAGCATCACTTCGCAGACCTACCAAATGAAGTTCTCGGTCTTATTAAGGAGCTAAAACTAACTGAATTCCAATATTACCTTGCTTGCTCTGTCATTGTCATTCAGAGATATCTTGGAACAGAAGAAATAGCATTAGCCGTACCTGTTACCACTAGATCATTCCAATTCAAGAAGTCGGATGGATTATTTGTCAATACGATCATTCCAAAATTTACCAGCGACGGAAATGTTTGTCTGGTTGAAAATATCAAACACATTGCAGAAACGTGGCTTCAAGCTATGGACCACTCACATTATCCATTGGACGAGCTCTCCAGATACTTATGGCAGCAACACAATCAAAGCTTTAGTTCATTCTGCAATGTCATGTTCAACTATGTGTGTGCCGCCTCAGATTCTTCATTGAATATACCAGCTAAACATGCTAAAATGCCGCTAACCATAAATTTTGTTCAAGGCCAAAGCACAAACAAAACCCAGGTATGGATGGAATGGGCGACAGAACTGGTTCCAGACAATACAGCCAAAAGACTGTCAGCAAGCATTGTAGAACTAATAGCACAATCTAGGAATGAACTAGAAACACCGTTGTACAAGGCGCCAACTCTGTCAAAATCCGAAACGCGGCTTATTCAATCTTTCAGCGAGTCTCGTATTCCACAAGATTACGACGAAGTACCATGCCATATCACCTTTGAAAAACATGTACAATTATACGGTAATGAAATTGCCATCATCTGTGATGGACGAAGCCTTACATACCAGGAACTTAATAGCAAAGGTAACAAGATTGCAGCCGGGATTCTGAATATAGTTCATCCACAAGAACTAAAGAAAAAACCTGTAGTTCTTCTCATGAAGAAGGGCGAAGAAGCTATCGCGTCTATACTGGGAATATGGAAAGCCGGTGGACATTTCCTACCAGTGTCGATTTCCAACAGATCAACAATTAAGAACATTTACCAGAGAGCTGATCCAGCACTTGTAATAACCACGGAAGACATCGGGAGTCTTGTGAAAGATTTTGGAAAATCAACATGTCCAGTACTTAGTGTTGATGATGTTAGTGGGGAATCAGATCATAAATACATTATTGAACAATCAATTGAAGATATAGCCTATGTTATAAGGACCTCGGGGTCGACAGGTACACCAAAGCAGTGTAAAGTTAGTCACAGAAGCCTCCAAATCATGTCAACGGCCTGGAAAGAAATCTACAAAATGGACAAATTCAAAGTTAATATTCTGCAATGGGCGCCTTTATCATTCGATGTTTTTGTTGGTGATCTGACCAGAGCCCTGGTATCTGTTCCAGGTACCATGGTTATATGTTCCGATGAAAGGAGGCTTGACATTCCCTGCATCCTCAACTTAATCAAAGTCAACAACATATCTTTAGTTGAAGTAACACCTCAATTCGGACAGCAGATTGTTGAAAATGCCGATATTGGGGATCTTGACTCTCTACAGATTTTGATTCTAGGGTCTGATGCTGTAAAGAGCCATCTTTTCACAAGGGTTAAAAATCAACTTAAACCTAACCAACGCCTCATTAATAGTTATGGTATGACAGAAGCCACGATTGATTCGGCGTGCTTTGAAGGAGACCCACCGGTGACTAGAAGCGGTACAGTGCCCATAGGCAAACCTCTTCCAGGTGTTAAACTACAAATTCTGAATCCTAAAACACTACAACCGTGTCCAATCGGAACCGTGGGTGAACTATACATAGGTGGCGATATACTTGCTTCGGGAGACGTAGAAGTTGTTTCAGTTGATGGTCTGAATACAAACAATCTTAAAACTGGTGATTCCGCGTGCTGGTTACCGAGTGGAGATATTGAACTATTGGGAAGGTTAGACAATGTCATGAAACTTCGGGGATTTAGGATCAGTTCAACCGAAATTGAGAACAAAATCATTTCGAAAAATCCTGAGATAAAATCGGTTTGCGTGACCCCAGTAACCAGTGAAAATGATGTTGAATTTTTATGCGCTTTTGTCGTGTTGAATGGCGTAAATGACGGTGACATATCCAAGAAAACATTAGGAGACAGAATGAAAGGTGATTTGCCTTACTACATGATACCAGATGTAGTTCACATTATAAAGAAAATACCATTAACCACCAATGGAAAGGTCAACATCAAAGCCTTGCCAACATTACCAAATCTTTTCAGGGCATCTGAAAAACATACGCAAGCTTATGAATCAAAACCATCAAGTCTGTCCACTCTCAAGGGGCTGTTCACGGAAGCTATGTGTTTAGCTAACATTGATGACGTGGATACAGAGCAAACGTTCATGGAACAAGGTGGCCATTCTCTAACCCTGCTTCGTTTCTCAACATTGATAAAACAGCGTACAGACTACACAATAAGCATCGCAGACATATTTTCCTACCCAAGTCTCTCAACACTTTCCAGATTCATTGATGAAAACCAAAAAACTGAAGACATCTCCGAGTCACCAAAAACAACCGACACAGCTGGAGAACATATAGATATTGCTATCACCGGAGTTGGAATGAGGTTACCTGGTGACATTTCTTCGATTTCTGAACTTTGGAAGGTTCTAACACATGGTGAAGATTTGATAAGAGAATTCCCAGCTAGCAGAAAAGATGATGCACTGAAATGCATGAATTCTACAACATCTGAAGCGTTATCGGCTTGCGACACTTTCCAGGGATCATTTCTCGACAGTATTGACCATTTCGATAGCCAGTTCTTCAAAATCCCTCCTGGTGAAGCTAAATACATGTCTCCTGAACAAAGGCTGTTTTTACAAGTAGCCACAGAAGCTTTATCCGAAGGGAGAAATATAGACAAAATTAAGGGGTCGAAAGTTGGGGTTTTTGTTAGTAATTCGGAAATTAGCTATGCAGAACTTGATCTACCAGATGAAGCAATAAGTATCTCTGGATTGATGCCTGGGATGATTGCCACAAGAGTAGCCTATCAGTTTGATCTGAAAGGACCAACACTATTGGTGGATACAGCATGTTCCTCCTCACTGATGGCTCTCAAATTAGCATGTGAATCAATACAAAAGGGAGAATGTGACGGAGCCCTGGTCGGTGGTGCCAATCTTGTACTTTACCCAGCAAGAACAGGAGTATTCGGGGAAACTGGTATACTTTCGCCAGACTTTCATTGCAAAGCTTTTGACCGAGATGCTACTGGCACTGCAGTGGGCGAGGGAGTGATGTGTATCTATGTAGAACCACTCAAAGCCGCTACACAAAAAGGAAAACCAATTTACGGAGTATTGAAAGGCGTTGCTTCAAACAGTGTTGGCCACGGAAATGGCATCACTGCACCTACATCTGCTTCACAGAAACAAGTAATCGAATCGGCATTAAAACTAAGTCAAATGGCGCCATCGGACATTTCATTTATTGAGGCCCACGGGACCGGCACTAAACTTGGGGACAAAATAGAATTATCCGCATTGTCTTCAGTTTTCTCCCCCAAGGCTGGTGTTCGGGACATTCCAATTGGTGCTGCAAAGAGCATATTTGGACATTTAGATTCCGCTGCTGGGATGATTGGAATCTTAAAAGTTCTAGCTTCAATGATGTTTAAGAAGATACCACCTACCGCACATTTCAAGAATCCACATTCCGAACTTGTTGATTCGTTATTGGCAGTTCCTGCGAAGACAACTGTCTGGCCATCTAATGTGAATCGGTCACGTGCAGCTGGAATAAGCTCTTTTGGCTTGACTGGCACCAACTGTCATGCCATTATCTCACAAAGTCAGCCCTTAGGACAGATCAATGACAATAATATCACATCACCGCTTCTTTTGACCGGAAATGATCATAACCAGATACAGAATCAGATCCGGCGCCACATAACTTTCATTGAAGAGACTGTCGTTAATGCAGGAATCAACACTATATCCAGTTTATGCGTTGCTGTGGCAAACAGAATTCGAGATTTGGGACAAGCAAAACTAGGCTACATGACGCTGAAACTGGCAATATACCTTAAATCCCACACACAAGCTCTAAAAGTTTTAGAACTCCTTAATTCATGTAACGATATGGACGACATGGCTAACCTAGCAGATGTGCGAAGTGACATTGGAGTAAACTTTTTAAAACAAAGACGAGAAGCAAATCAGGGTGTTGAAGATTTTCTGACAAGTGGAACCGTGAACCTTGATTTACTGTTCGGAGATGATAAACCAGTACCGGCGCGGGGTGTTTATCTAGAAATGTTCAATCCAAAAAGGCATTGGTGTGATCCAAGTTCTTCTTCTCCAACTGAAAAAGTCGGACTTCTTAATATTTTAGAAACTAAGTTGAGCGATGCACGTGAAATGGTACGAAGTTTGCCTTTGGCGGCTTCTGAAGAATTAAGGGAACTCGAAGGAAAGTTCTGTGTAGCTATAGTAATTAAACTTCTTATGACTACCAAGCTGAATCAGTACTTGAAACAGTCTTCAGAAGTATCCTTAAAGACCATCTTCAAAGAGACTGGAATGCTGCCAAAGTACGATAAATTATTTTATGTCATGATTAGAGAGCTGTATGACAACCATGTTGTAATACCAACTGGAAACGACAAATCTATCCATTGCTTAGATACCTTTAGATTTTATTGTGAACATTTACTTGATGCTAATCCCGAACCTATAGCTCAATATGCCATGGAGAAATATCCAGCTTGGTCAGATTGCTTCAGATTTCCTCTCTACTGTTCCCAGTATTTGACAAAAGTCCTGTGGGGCAATATGAGTCCTCTTTCAGTCATCTACCCCCAGGGAGATCTGAACTACATGTACCAATTTGATAAACTAGGAGATCTGATTGGAGATGTTTACTACAATATGTACATGCAGTTGATTGCCGCTTATGCTAAACAGCTGTCCGGTCGTGGTAGAAAGGTTAGAATCCTTGAGGTTGGAGCTGGCATGGGTCACGTAACAAGACAACTGATACCTAAATTGAAAGATATGCCGAACATTGAATACTGGTTTACAGATCTTGGTAAGGCATTTGTAGAAAATGCGAAGACTTTATTCGAAGATTACCTGCACATGATGAAGTTCTCCACATTCGACATTACCAAGAGTGCTCCCAAGCAGGGATTACTAGGCTGCTATGATATAGTCATTTCATATAATGTTATCCACACCACTGAAAGTGTCATGGATTCTGTCATAAACCTAAAATCTTGCCTGGGTGAAGATGGTACTCTATTTATTATCGAGAGTGCCAAGAATGAAACATGGGCTACTTTGGCTTGGGGTATTTTAGATGGATGGTGGTATTTTAAAGACTATGATTTGAGACCAGATGAACCAATGATGGAACCTGAAAAATGGGAAAGAGTTCTGAAAGGTAAATCTGTTTTACTAAATAAAACAAGTATTCCAAAATGTTTGTATTTAATGTATATTTAAGCTAATGAGCATATACATGTATGTGTTTCAAAATAGGCGTGTATTGTCCCGTGCACCCCCTTTACATTTGACAAGGGAAGAGACAGAAATAACATAAAGTCCATTTTATTCCTTCGATTAAAAATTGGGGTGGGGAAAATGGCCGAATGGTCTAACGCGTGCGCTTAGATCATAGGATCTGTCGTTAAGTCAAATGATGTTTTTTTTTCAAATCCTATATTGTACGTGACGCGAAGAGTGGGGTCGCCTGTCCAACCTTGTATGTTTTCACCGGGTCCTCGGGTCCCCCATTGCTATCCGCCCACGCTCAAACTAATTATTGAAATCAAATTGATCAATATGGTAGTCCCAAAATGGCCTTGTTTGTTTCGAGTGTATTTTAAACTCTCTCTCTGGCTCAGGAAGACAGCGATTTTTATATGGTCTTAAGCGGTCGTCGCACTATATCCGCCGTCTGTAGAGGTACTTACGTTTTTCACCAATTTTCATAATATTAACTATTTTTTGAGCGTTTTCGGTCTCGCAAAATTAGTTTCAGAGTTAAGGCCCCTGACTATCGAGACGGTGCATTACCGCTCCCTCGTTCTTAATGTTCGGTAGGGTTATGCCTCCTGGCTGATTGTTGACAGCGGTACAATACGTACCTATACTCATCAATGTTCACCACCTTTTAAGGAATAAGATCTCGTGTCAAAAATAATGTCATTATATCAAGTAAAATAATGTCATTACATCAAGTAAAATCTTTGCGGCAGTCTATGGTGATTTACGTAAGATAACTATCCTTATAAGCATGCTTGTATATAAGTGCCTGGGCTCATCTAGTTAATGATTTAAAAGGGCATTTGTTGTGTTCTCAAAAAACTATATGAATTGTGTATTTTATTTCAGGAAGTGGATTTGGATCAGTCCATTCCTGTCCTGTTGACCAATTTGAAAGAGATCAAGTAGAGAAGTTCTTATTTGTATGCAGTGCTAAGCCCCTAGTTGGAGAACTTCAGCAGCTACCAGGTTGGTGGGAGACCATTGATCTGAAGACACGACGTCATCAAGACCTGGAGGATGAAGTGTGTAAGAGTACCGATACTGGTGTTGAAGATGCTCCTGTTGAACGAACGGCAGTTCACGGAGAATTGAAACAAATCTGGTGCGAACTGTTCGGAATAGACAATATCAAACCAGGTGATGAGTTCAATTCGCTTGGAGGAGAATCCTTACTGGCTATTCAGATGATGACTATGGTTAGAAAGAGAATTGGATATCAACTAGAGATTGCAGATACATTTGGGTATCCATCTTTGGGTGGCTTAGCTGACTTTATTGCTGATAAATTGGAAGATGGAGTTGAAATTGAAATGGGTGACACGGAGCAATGGTCTAATATATCAACCCCATCTAGCCTATCGGAAATCGACGAGAATGAGTGTGTTAGCACAATGCTAATGTTTCCGGGCCAAGGTTCACAAAAGCCAGGAATGTGCGTCTCCATGAAGGACAGTCCTGAAGCTAGAGCTGTTTTCAATGAAGCCGCTAAAATTTTGGGATACAACATTTTAGAGATGTTTCTGCAAAACGACAAGAATCTTGCTGAAAAATTAAAATCCACCGAGTTCGTTCAGGTTGCCCTTCTTGTCGGTTGTCTGGCGAAGACTGAACAAATAAAAGCAGAAAACCCTGAAAAACTGAACAATATTACTTACGTGTCTGGATTAAGTGTCGGCGAATTTGCTGCATTAGTTTACTCGAAAGTTATCAGTTTTGAAGAAGCTTTAAAGATTGTTCAAGTGCGCGGCCATGCTATGGAAAACGAAGTACATCGTTCCGCTACCGGCATGGTCAGCGTGTTTGGGCCAAGTACTGACAAACTACAGAAATTTTTAAATGAAAAATTCTCGCATGTCAAAATATCCACGTATCTTGCGGATAACCAACACACTGTTGCCGGAACAGAATCGGAGACAGAAGAACTCGTACGTGTTCTTTCCGGTGAGCTGAAAGACGATATGGACATTATTGATGTAAGAAAACTTAGAGTTGCTGGTGCTTTTCACTCCACGTATATGAAACCTGCTTCCGAAATTGTCGATCCTATTATAGAATCGGTAGAATTTTCTAAACCGACAGTTCCATTAATTATGAACGTCACCGGAGAAGTAGTAAACGACCCTGTAGAGATTAAGTCTTTTGTGTGCGAACAATTGGTAGCTCCGGTTTTATGGAAACAGTCTGTAATTACTGCCTATGAAGCCGGTGTAACGAACTTTGTCGAGGTAGCCCCAGCCAGAGTTATATCGTCCATTGTGAAAAACCGAATAGCGTCTGTTAAAAACTGCACCGTGGACCTAATTGTTGTTTAAATATTCTGATAACAGTCAAGAAATATTTATATGTAAAGTAATTTTAATTAACTGTAGTTTGTGTAGACTACTCAGAAAAATAATGAAAAAAACAAGGATTATATATTTAATTGAGGTTTAAATACTATTACAATGGATATAATTTAAAATTTTGCTAAATTACCCTTGTTCTGTTACAAGGGATCTATTTTCTCAGTAACCGGGCAGTGTTTAAAATGTACAATCTAGTTTCGCACATTGTGGTACAAAGAATGGTATACGTTTCGGCCGAATATTTATCATAGGTATTACTATTTTATAAACACATACAAATATAAAAGAAGCTATTATGTGTGTTTATTAATGGCCACAACTTAAGGTACCTTCAGGTCAGAATAAATGTTAAATACCGAGTTTAAGGTCTTCGATAATAAAAACAAAAACACCCAAAAAACAGAAACATTTTGGTCATCGCTAGCCTGCGATATTTACTGGATTACTGCATATTTTTGACTTTTCACATGCCTTTAACTTTAAAATTGAACTAGTCAATTTGAATTGTATTTTGTTGTTAAAGAACGAGTACGGTAGTTGTGATTTTTGTATCTTTTAAACACTACTTGCTTATTGTAGCAATTAATTACTTTTATTTAAATGTATATACTCTTTTACGTTCTTATCCTCATTTAGACCGGATTGGGTTTTTGCCTTTGTTTTCTGATTTTGTTTTCTTTGTTATACATTTTGAAATTTTGAAATTTTGAAGTTACTGAAAATATTTGACTTATGTTATATTTATAGCTCATATTTATATTTATATTTATAACATATTTATTTATGTTATATTTATAACGAATGAAATGTGCTATAAATGACTTGTAACATTGACACCTGCTCAACATGCTTGTTGATATTGCACAGAAAACCCACCCCACTTCTCTATATGATTTCTACTAAAACTAGTGTAAACCGGCAAAAGAGTGCAATAACATTGAACATGTCTAGTTATTGCACGGTTAAGCTCCATCCAATCTACTAGAGGGAAAACAGTCTGCTTATTCAACGAAAAGAACATAGGAAGATTCCCCGTCCATGTTACGTACAATGTATATTTATTGCACATTTGTTTAGATATCCATAAGCTTGTAATTGTGGTGACAATTATCACATGATAACAACGTGATATCTTTTTTGATAATACTTGTACATTTGTTTATGAAATGTTGATGTATTTGTTAAAGATACATTATGGGAGATTCGATAACGAGTTGGCAGTTCTCACTATAATAGTTAAAAACTAGATAACGTAAAGCAATTTGCTGAAAATTTCATTCAAATTGATCCACTATGAACCGAAAACTAAGCGAATGAAATTTCTGCCTAGCCTCGGTCATCTTTACTAAAGTCAGTACGGTAAACAGCCTAGTCTCGATTATCCATTTAATCGAGAAGGAAAGTTATGCAGTAAATCGGCTCACAATCCACTTAAAATCGGAGGCTAGCGCTGCCATCTAGAGTTGATTATGGTCTGGATAAGTTAATTAATGTCTAATTAATAATTTAGATAACATTTCAGGCCTAAATAAAGACCTGCAATAGACAGATTTAGCTCTTGCATAATGTATGTTTAATATTTTTATTTAAATATTTAGCGTGATATATTAACCAACTAGGGCGTAAACACTATTGTAACAATTTATTACATTTATTTACATGTTTACGGTTTTTACGGTTTTATCATTCCGTAATAATTAATATAATCTTACCTTTTTTCATAGATCACTTTACTTTTTTTGTCTTTTTTTTTATGATATTTCTTTAAGGATACATTATAGGGGATTCGATAACGAGTTGGCAGTTCTTACTATAATGGTTACAAACTAGATAATGTAAAGGCAATTTGCTGAACATTTCATTCAAATTGATCCACTATGAACCGAGAACTAAGCGGTTGAAATGTCAGTACGATAAACCGAATAGACTCGATTATCCATTTAATCGTTAAATCTTGAAGGAAACTTATGCAGTAAATCGGCTCATAATCCACTAAAGATCGCAGGCTAGCGATGCCATCTAGAGTTGATTATGGTCTGGATAGGTTAATTAATGTCTAATTAATAATTTAGATAGCATTTCAGGCCTAAAGAAAGACCTGCAATAGACAGATTTATCTCTTGCATAATGTATGTTTAATTTACCCTTTTGACATTTTGAAGGCAATGGAAATATTAGGCCTGTTGTGCATAATGGTATTTTGTTTATGTTTTAAAAAAAAACATATTTACATTTTTATTTTGTTGATAAATTTTACGTGATAATAAAACTGATATATTATTTGATATACTTGAGCATCTGTTAATATATTTGTTAATAAAACATGGTGCTCCACCCTATCGATAAGATACATATCTGGGAAGTTGGTGGGGCCACAAAGGAGGGATGCGGAAGGGGTAGTTACGAGCGGCTCGCTTGGCAGAAATGCCCAACTTTTTTAGACACCTTTTTTTCTGAAAAACAATAAAAACACTGAATAACAGAGATTGATTAGTATCACTTCTGTCGGGTTTCATTTACATTTCATTCGCTTTTTAAACACTTGATTTCAAGCTGCCCATTGACCTTATTATCCGTCTGCCCCAAAATAATAAATATTAAGCACAGCCTAATATGTAACTTAATGGGAACGATCCGTGGTCTGGAACACCTAGGCTGTACTCAATATTTATTATTTTGGGGTAGACGGATAATAAGGTCAATGTGCAGCTTGAAATCAAGTGTTTAAAAGCGAATGAAATGTATATATATATATATATATATATATATCAGTTATCTGAAAAGATGTAATAGCCTTCTGAATCTGGCATTTTTCCATCGCCTGCATTAGGGGACACCATAATCTCTTCGGTGCTTAGACTTCTTGTGTTCTTAACCAGGCACTGAGTCAAAGAAATGACATGATATTACTAGTCTGATCCATTTGTTAGTAACACAAGAGTTATTTACCCTATAATAGATCAATTCCATGCAATATCATCCAAGTATTCAATGTGAATCTTATCACCATTTGGCAACTAATGATGAATGTCATATCATCCAAGTAGTGTTCACATATTCGCTCACTCTCAATCAGATCCAAAAATAACTCAATTGGCCGACTACGTAAGAAACCAATGGGCGAGGGTGAATATTCTACTCATCAGTGGAACCACTACCACACAGGGGCACACAGAACCAACAACACTCTGGAAGGATGGTATTCAAGGATCAAGAAGCTAGTTGTTAAAGCTCATCCATTTTTTTTTAAATGATCGCATTTTACCAAAAGAGCAAAATATTAATGAAATTAGAATCGTACAGTATGCTGGGGGCCAGAAACCACCAAGGAAGAGACACAAATATGCCCAAATCCATAGCCGGCTCCAGGAATTAAAAAGTAGACACGAAGAAGAGGAATTAACTTTAGTTGAGTATTTAGATAGGGTGTCTTATTTGGCGAAATTAAACTAATTTGTTTTTATTTCTTAAAGTCATATGCCAAACATGTTAAAATTTTCGTTAATAAGTCACATTGGTGATTGTGAAAGTGTAAATTCTGATCATAAGAATCTATAACTCCATTGTTACATTTTTAATCCATTTTAATCCCTGAAAGCTGGATTCCCACGAAGGCGTCGAAAACGACCTCCTTTAATCCGTTCCGGTCAATAACTGCGCCTTCGTGGGAATAAGCCAGTTATTGCACGGTTAAGCTCCACCTAAAAGATGTTTGTTAACGAATCTCCGTTCAATCACACAAGTGTTTTATTTAAAGTGGGTTGAATAGAGGTAATTATCGTCCATAGGAGTGGGAAAGCGTGAATAAAAATAAAAGGTGTTAAACACAAAATTTCTGAACGGTGATTTTATATTGTTACCCTGTCTTTATTCTCGGAGCAGAACAGTAGGACGTTAAACCCCATTTCATTTCATTTCTGTCTTTATTCATGGACTGGCTCGCGTGTTCAATTCCTGCGTTGGCCGAGACAGTTCATCGGGATTTTCCAACGTGATTTCCAGTGGTGCAGGACGGAGGGCCTGACAAGGACAGTTGTCTAGTCGTTCGGGTGATACGAAAAAAACGAGGTCCCGTGTATACATTGGCGTGCACATAAAAGATCCCCTGTCAGTTAGAACTCGATTTAAGAGTAGGCCATAGTGCCGCTACCCGGGCAAAATTTCCCTTATAGCGTATGCCCACCCTCATTAGCCAGTCGGAGCAGAACAGTAGGACGTTAAACCCCATTTCATTTCATTTTTATTCATGGGCGTCCGCAGGGCGTTGGTGTTACATGTAGAGTGGAGAGGGTGGTGGTGGACAGGTTCCCGGTCAGCATTAATTAATTGGGGGTTCCAAGGTCGAAGATTGGGAAGGGGGTGGGCCATAAACAAATCGCGATGTTAATGATGGGTTCTGGCGCATATCAGGTCCTGAATAAAATAACATAATGGGTAAAACATGGTGTTTTTCAGGGGGTACAGACCTTTTTCTTAACGGGCACCATATTTCAGAGCGGGTGGGATGAGGGAGGGTATCGCCACCCACCCCACCCCACCTATAAAGCTTACTTTAGCAGGGGATTACTTGAAACTAACAGGGTCTAACACATGCTCTTGGGATTATAAGGTCTGTCATTGAGTCAAGTGAGAAACCTGGCAAGGAAGGAATATTATTAATTTAACCGTATAAAATTTATATCGAATACTACCATACAATAGGATACTTTATTACTCTGATTTATTTAATAGATAATGCAAAATGAATATATTGAAAAGTTCATTCAAATTAGTTTATACTGAGCAAAGTTATCACTGTTGGTAGTTTTGACAAGATCTAGCGTAGATTGTTCATTCTAGACTAGTAGCAACAATGAATGACATTCGAGACTTACTTACTCCAGATTAACTAGTTTATAGTTTATTTTCTACGAAGGCCCATTAGTGCCAAACACTTTGAACGAATTAGTATCTTGTTTGAACGAATTAGTATCTCGTTTGAACGAATTGATATCTCGTTTGAACGAATTAATTATTTGGTTTGAACGAATTAATTATCTCGTTTGAACAAGTTAGTAACTCTTTTGAACGAGTTAGTAACTCGTTTGAACGATTTAGTAACTCGTTTGAACGAATTAATTATCTCGTTTGAACGAGTTACTATCTCGTTTAAAAGAATTATTTATCTCGTTTCAACGAGTTACTATCTCGTTTGAACGAGTTACTATCTCGTTTTAACGAATTAAGTATCCTGTTTGAACGAATTAGTATCTCGTTTGAACAAATTATTTATCTCGTTTGAACGAATTATTTATCTCGTTTGAACGAGTCAGTATCTCGTTTGAACGAATTAATTATCTCGTTTGAACGAATTAATTATCTCGTTTGAACGAATTAAGATTTCGATTGTACAGAAGCATGGAAGGGACATGCAGAAATTGTGTTTCAAGTAAAGATAATATGATTTAATACGCGTAGGGTCTTTACTATTTCTAGCTTTAGCGTCAGTAGAAGGAACTACACTTGTGAAAAGGGGAATTAGTAGGGTCATTCTTGCATTTGAAGATATATGATGTGGTGTTCACTGGTCCCTTAAAGCGGTAAAATCTAGTAAAATCCAATATGACTGACATTTGCCTAACCAATGTACACAAAAAATCTACATGGTTGGTTTTTAAGACCCTATTAATGTATAATGAACAGATAAATAAATGCTCTTGGTGTCATTCTTTCATTTGAAAATATAGCAAGTAGTCTAGTGTTAGCTGGTCCCTTAAAGTGTTAAAAATAAATGAAATCTAAGATGACCGACATTTGTCAAATCAATGTACAAGAAAATCCTAAACGTTTGGTTTAAGACCCTATAATGTAATATGAACATGTAAATTCATATATTTGGGGTCATTCTTGCATTTGAAGTTATATCCTGTGGTCTTCGCTGGTCCCTTAAAGCGGTAAAATCTGGCAAAATCCAAAATGGCTGACATTTGCCTAACCAATGTAAACGAAACATCTTAACCGGGCGTGGGGGGAGGGGGGGTGAGACCAAGTAAGCGCCCCCGTGAGACAAAGTCTCCTCAAGCCCAGTTCAAAATAATCAAAAACTCAGTTATTATACGTCCATATCACCTAGGGTACTCGATTCCATCGCCATATTTCTTCTACTGCTCTATGGTCTTATACTATCGTATCGCTATCTGAAGATTTTAACGCCTACGGTGCTCGATTCCATAATGTCGTCATTCTTCCACTCCTCTATGGTCTTATACTGTCTTGTCATTATCATATTTACGGTTATAGTGAATCTCCCAGTTAGTAGTACCACTAGTCAGTGGGTCGTGGGGGAACAGACTGTAGAAATAGTCTGTCAACTCTCACAAAACAGGTAGAATTGATAGGCTGGCCGCGAGATTCTGTCCCATTTCTTATCCTCTCGATCATAAGAATTTTCTCCCATCAATGAACTCAAATTCCAGGGAATTGACTAAATAATTAAAATCTCTGTTATATATTTTATGTTGCTATCTAATATTACTCCACTCCTCTGTGGTCTCATACTATCCCATCACTATCATATTCACGGTTATAGTGAACCGCCCTGTTAGCAGTACCGGTAGAGCGTGGGGCGACAGACTGTGCTACTGTTCTGTCAACTCTCACAAAACAGGTGGAATTGACAGGCAGATCTCGAGATTCTGCCCCATTGACTGCCATTTCTAATCCTCTCGTTCACAAGAATTTGACCACAGCAATGATCTCAAAAGCCATGATATTCTCCCCTTCGGATTACTCAGTGTTATAGCCACTGTCCCTATGGTTCACAAAAATTATTACCAATCATAATATGACATGAACTTTATGTCAACTTGAATAAAACTACTTTCCGTCAAGATAACGAACCACAAACAACTATATAGGCAATACGACCCATGCTCTTTGTGGGGTTGGATCTATGCTCATTGTGGGGTGGGATTATGGGTGGCACCCTAGGTTTGGAACCGCGCCCACCTTATTCACCGCTTCTAGATCCGCTACTGGCGTTAACTTAAGATCCTATGAATGTATACAATCGTTAACATGCCCATAATCTTGTTGTTTATGTGTGATTTACATTGTCACTTTGTAAAGTGCCTCTGAACATGTTATATGAAAGGGTGCACTATAAATATGCTGTAATAATAATAATAATAATAGTATAACAGTAAATGTGATGCAAACTATAATGTTGAATAGCCCAGCAAAATGAGATTGGCGCTTATTTTAGCAAAAGTTGCCCAGTTAAAAAAAGCACCCTCATGTGTCTTAG